AATTTTTTAAGAATTCGTTCCGCACTATCCACCCACCCAGTATGTATACAACACTTTTTTTGCTCAAAAGATCTACCAATGGGTCTTGCCATCTCTTTTTTACCCAACTCAATTTTTCTTCAATCTCTACTTCGACTTTGTAGCCTTCCCTTCTACCCTTTTTGCGTCGTTTATCTTTGGACAATCTTTGCCATTGAAATATGTACTTGGGGCTATAGCTGGCCAGTCAAACTTTTGATGCACATTTTTAGTGTAGTTAGTTTTCAAAAACTGCTTTTAGCCAATGTTGCAAATGCAATAATTCATGTGCAGTAATTTTGATGGGGGCTAAATCGGCGCTATTTTGTAGTCATTTCTCTCTCTTCTTTTTGAAGCCTATTCTGTCTTCATAAGGCCATAACGAAGCAGGTGCCAGGTTGAAGAGTTTTCTAACATCGATTCCCCCTCCCCCCCCCCCTTCCCGAATTGGGAGTATTTGCATACCTTTATCGTGTATACTTTTTGTGGGTCTTAACTAAGTCTTTGCCCAGCAACAGCTCATAATAACTACTCGTAACTGAAAATTTCAGCTCTAAACTCTCGCCCAGACCGTACTCCCTCCCAGCGTACCAGTCAGAGCATTACTGTATGTACTCGATTCCTCACATATCTTCGAATACTGCCTTTTCTGCAGTTTAGCATGCTTTTCCTAATGTCGTGCTTCCTCCGATGCCACTTCCCTTTTTTTCCACTGCTTCTCCTAGACTCTCATACATCATGATTATGAAAGGCCTTCCTTCGCTCTTCCGGGCTACGTATCCGTGGTGTTTGCTTAATCTCGGAGCTTTTGATGATTAGAGTGCATGACGAAGCAAAATCTCCATATTTGCTTCTTTCCCCGACCTCGCCGCAACATCGCATGGCTAATAAAGTACTTGCTTTTGGAAGCAAGAGTTTGACATTTTTCAGGATTGCAGTGCAAGTTCTGCTGTGTTACAACGTGATTATACTTATATCTATTATCATTTATTCTGGAATTTTTTTGAGTGCTTTTTTAGAGAAAATGTGCGTTCGTGTCCATTTCCTTAAACTTTTTTTCTTCTGAAAATAGGCTTTAAGAATCATTTTATGGTCTTGCTATTCAGTTTCGCTATCTAATGCACTAAGAAAGACAATTGTTTTCTCCAGATTTGCTCCTCTTTCTTCGATATTTCTCACATTTTGATCATGAGGCACAGTATCCTATTGCTGTCTTTCTATGTTTTTCACATTTTAATCTTGTCGAAAATACTCATGAATCGAATATCTTATTGATTCACTATAATCAATCGTATTTTCAAATCAGCTTGTTTTTTCTCTGAGATTTGCTATGCAAGCTGAACTCCTTATCTTAGTTACGTAATCAAATTACGTAGCAGTTTTTGCCATGTTAGGAATGCCGATTCCGGAAATTTGTGGCTTTCCTTGTTTGCCTTTTCTCGTGTTTTGCAATCCTACCCGTATGAGATTAGAACGTCGATCTTTTTTCTTGTTTTGCTTTCGTTTAAGCCATAGAAATTTCTTACACCGACAAGGTCTGGACCGAAACGGAAGGTATTTCCACCCTCTCGATTCGATTTGCTATCGAATTGCATCAAAACTTTTACAATTTTCTTGGTTGCTGTTTTTTTCGATTTACTGTATCACTAAGTCGAACGGTAGAGGACAGTGTTCGTGTGTTTATATTCGCGAGACATGATTCGAGGCTGAGTGGCTTGTCTGTGACTTCTTACAATCTCCTCTACAATTTTTACTTCCTCTTCCACCTTGAATCTTTTTTCTGGAACAAACTTGCAACTCTTACTTGTGTTCGTATTCGCTGGAAGGTTATTAATTACAGTTACATAGGAAGATTTTTCTTATTTTTCTTACATTGTCAGGGTTCATCCTTGATCTCAATAAACTATATAGATTTTAGGCCTCGGACAGAGTTCACGCGATTTGATCGTCGCGATTTAATCGCCGCGATTTCCATCCACTTCAAATTCAAAAATATCGAGCTGGAATATCACAACCGAAATGCAAGCTGATCGGCATGCAATGAAATTGTAACAGTTGTCTTGTAGCGATTGAATCGCGACGATCAAATCGCGTGAACTCTGTCCGAAGCCTTATCCTCATGTATCTTTTGTATTGCTTTTGCATGGACCATCACCTCAGGGTTTCTTGATGCACAAGTGGCGAAAAACTTTGAGAACGTCAAAACCGAGTTTATACCATAATCACGCATTTACCCTTGTGCTTTCTTACCATTTCTCTTTATTTCATGCTGTATTTTTCTAGCACTGGCTTAAAAATTGGATTTAATTCAAAATTGCCGCACTTAGAATAATTATAATATAGCAAAACTATATTTGTGACACAAACTATCTTCTCTCGCTAGATTTTGATTCTATACAAAAATATTTGCTTTTTGTCAGGTTGTAACCCAACGGTTTGGTTTGTAACTGCTTTTTCTTGATTCTACAATTCGAGTACGAATTTGAAAGAGGTAAAGAAAGAATTTGCAAAAGCAGATTTTGTAATAGAAATTCATAAAACTATCATTTCGATGATGTTGACGCCTGACTTGAGATGCTCTAAAAAGCTTTTAAAGCCAAGAATACTTGAATGTAAGATGTGTTATTGAACCTTTCACATTTGATTCGGTAATTTAAACTATTCGCGTGGTGATAGGGGCTGCCAAATATCTGATTCTTACTAAAGGTAATTTGAATAGTTTTCTGATGCATTTCGTAATCCCAGCCGCAGTTGACATCGTTAATTCCACTTCTTACTTCTTCTGCACTATTGTGATTTGCTCTTGATGAATAACCAAAGAGCAATTAGTATAAGCATTAAGAGTCACCTCGCACTATGTTCGCCCTCGCTTTTCGCTTCCCTTGGATGTTTGACAACTTTAATCGATGTCACTCTTAAGTCATCGATGGACGCTGCTACTTCACACTAGACCTAGTTTGTTTGCTCTTAGCTAATTGGAAAGCTTTTATAGCTCTTAGCTGGTATGAACCATCATCTTTCCCACTTATGTGTTAGGCATATCTTGAAGTCAGATGTTATCCGTCATTTCCGGGCAAATAACTTACGGCTGTTAACGTTGATTGCCACGGAAATTCTTATTAGATTTTGTACGTAGTTCACTTTAGATGTAATCGTTTCATAGATGAGCTTTGGAATTGATTTTCATCAGATACCACTCATATATGAACGAAGTTAAGGTGCTAGGGAAATCAGGGCTCGGCACGAGTTGGCATCATGGAAATTCTACGAAGTTCCCTTTGATCCTTAACCCTAGACATGACTATGTACAACCCGTAAAAAATCTCAAAAAAAATAAATGTCGCGATTTTTGTGTCTTTTCGACCACAGAAACGATATCTCCTTTGCTTTTTGTTCCAAAAACGATATCCGGGTTCACCCAGTGCCAGCTGTGCCGAGCCCTGAGGAGAATATTCCTCGTCATCAGTTTGTTACAAACATCATCAGTTTTCGTTACAAACAAATTCATACGTGTATCTGGTATCTTTTTAAATGTTAAGATTGAGGAAACTCCCAAAACCAATTTTTTTAAACAAAAGATCATCTCTGTGATGGAAATAAATACGCACCGAATTTCTAGAAAGCTGAAAAGACAAGAGAACTTGAATTTAAGAGGTTTGACTACATTTTGCACATAGCTGGTAATCTGATTTTTGCATGGTAAAGGTGGTTTCAAACTATCTGACTTGCCCCGAAATCATTTTCATCCTAAATGTTCGCTGAGTACAGTCACTTGTATGTGTCCAGTTATTGAATTACTCGTCAAATCATTGGAACTGATAACAAAACCTGCAATTATTAATTTTCTTCTTGAAGTATCTAACCTTTGATTCAACAGGCTTGGCGGTTGGAAGGCGGGGCTTTGTGACCTCGCTCGCGCCCGCGACGCAGTCTGCGTCTCTCCCGCGCTCGTGCCTCTGATCATTACCTAGCCCCAATTAGGTCACGAATCACTGAAAATCTCAGCAGATTTAACTTCCTAAAGTTTCGAATACTTTTGTGATTATATATTTTTAGCTGATCTGGTAGGAACAAGGAAGCCTGGAGTAGTGCAGAACGAATGTTCTTTTAAAAACTCTTGTATGCAAATTCTCATTCATTATTTTGCTTCACCGATCATATTCTTGCATATTTGATTTATAGCTCGTTTTCATAGCTTCTTTCAAAAGCTGTTCTAGACAAATCTGGAAAGCGCACCGTACTCTTTTTAAGAGGACCAGTCAGCGGCCACGAGTACGGTAAAAAGTACGGTCTAGACGGGATTTGAGAGTATAAATTCTTTCCAATCAAGGAATCATGTAGTTTGGGCAGCTGCTTATTGCTAGTCAAGGTATTCTGATCAATATGCATGAAAAAGATGCAAGTTTCCAAATTCACCACGGAGACACTGCTTTCTAGACCCATTTAGCTCCTCCTTTTTGATCAGTATGATTTACAAGTAAGTCCTTACCCATTGATTCCTATCAGCACTAGTTATCTTGTTCAATAGTAGAGTATGTGAGTTCTCAACTAGGAGGGAAGAGCAGAAAGAGAAAAGTTTGAATTTCATTCTAGTATTTCCAGTTTGCTTGTTTTTTTACGATCATGTCTAGATGTATTTCTTTGCGGATGAGCCATTTTATCCATTGCTCCCCATCTCTCATCCTCTCAGCTTAAACTTGTTCCTTCAGCAAACCGTTCACTATGGCTATTTTCACAGGCAATAAATAAGCAATTTACGGCTCGAAATGATCAGATTAACGTCTTATTACCCGAAGCGTTCGTTGATCTCCAGCTCTGACGCGAACACAAATTTTCAGATTCATCCTATTCACCCCTGAACCCCCATATTGAGAGTACTCGATGACAAGTGCGGGGGCGAGAAAGTGACAGCCATGTTCATGAGGGCAGCTGGTGACCGAACAGACTCAACGAGTTTGATTTTAGTCGCCGAATGAGGAACAATGAAACGAAGGCGATATCAATTCGTCGTTCTTTCGCTACAGCTAGCTGTCGCCATCCGTTTTGCGCTCGCCTTAGATGGTTTGTGGTTTGTTTGATTTCTGACTTTTATGGCTTTGTTTGGCTCTCGTGGCCTGAACGGTCATAGAGTTTTTACCCCCTGAAGCACTTGCATCGTTACTCCTTACTAATCCCTATTCTTCTGCAGATTCCTACCAGAGTTATATACAAGCTCTGGCCTGTAAGTTTATTTTTGTTTATTTTTTCTTTTATATTTTTCTGTCAATGTTGATTTGGCAACTTTTTGCCGTTACAATCATTACTTTCATAACTATATAAATGGTGATCTATCAACACATTTTTTTTTATTATTGCTACAGAAAATAGACTATCCGAGTGGTCGACACGCCAACCGACTCATTAGGGACTGTCACGTTTCGCTATCATTTTGCTACTGAACGCTATTTTAATATCTAAAACAATTACCCTAATTTTATCATTTGACAAATCCCACCTTCCGAGTAAGTCAAATCTATTAACTTTTCGTTCATAGATTGATTTCACTTGGTTTATTGCTCTTATTTGTGATTGCGATCATGGCTGAAATATAGCAATTCTAGTGAAAGCTTCCAAAAACTCTAATCGCTTTCCAACACTCTTTCTGCCTCACCTTTTTTTAATTCGCTGACATAGAACTTTTCAAACGGATAGTAAATTAGGAAAAGTTTTGCTTTCATACTCAGTTAATTTCTTGAGAATTCCGCTCCCTCTAGCTGATTACATAGCTAGGTTTGGAACTTTCGATTCGATAGTTAGAACGTGATAAAGGCCTCATCAATATGGTGATTGCTTCTGATCCATATGAAGCCTTTCTCTAGACTCTTATGTCTGTAAAATCACTACCAGAAACACTTGTTTCGCAAGTGTGGACTCTTCGAAAAATAAAAATGACCCTTCCGCATTTCATCACGCAGCACATATTCCTGCTTCCTACATCCAAAGCAACAGTATTAAAATCAAATAAATCATATTAAATACACATATAAGGATTTTTGCTGATTAGACTTTTCAATCACTTCCAGTTTTCATGCTTACCGCAGATCAATCTCATTTGCAGTGCTTCTCCTTATTCAGATCCTGCCAGGCTTGTAGTTCGGCCTGACTCATCCACTGTTGCCTCTGACTCAAGGATCAGCTTCTTTTGCCGAGCTGATGGGAATCCACTGCCAAACGTTGTGTGGAAAATCAACGGAAAATCGCTATCAGATTCTAGGTTAGCACTGATTTTATAAGGATTTTTGCTTTCTATTTGTTTTGATTCTTGCAATAGTGCAAAGCTTCTTCCTTTTTCTTTTCCCGATCAACCCATCAGTTTTTGTTTCTGTTATCGGGTGGACTACAAATGAAAACATTGTTGATGAAGTGCTCCTTTGGGAACGCAAAGCAAAGTGCCATTATGAGAAACAACGATACATATCACCATGAGCGGATATTCAACTCCCATGTAAATTTGCATACGGTAGCGATATCGTTGCTCTGTGGCTCAAAAAATTTTTTTTGAGATTCCTATAGATTTTGAAGTGATCTGGACTTTATTGTTACAGCTTGGAAACATGAAACTTATCTTCTGGGACGTCAAGAAAACAGCCGAACAAATTCTACACAGCTTCTATCCAAAAAGCAATAAACTTCAATTCATTTTTTGAATAATTTCGTTGAAAGAGAGAAATGATCATTCCAACTGTCGAAATGAGCAGTCATCGATTAGAAGGGTTTGCATGCTTCTTTTCGTTGAAAACATAAACTTTATGAAAGAAATGCAATTAATCACTCACTTTCTCACTCATTTTTTCCATTCACTTTTTTCAGTATTTTCCGATCCTAATCGCATGTTTGCAAGGATTTAAGCTTACAGAACTCGGGTCAAAGTTTTATTTCTATGCAGCATTGTTCAAACGTAGTTTGTCTCTTCGTTCAAGCTCTTGATCATTTTGAAAACTGTAATCTTCACCTCTCTTTACCACCAACATTCATATCTTTATATCATATCACTTTCTAAATTGATTCACCCAATAGAAGGGTAAAAACATACTGCATACTGCTATACTGTCAAATACATACTGCCAAATTCGGCTACGACCAGATCGCGGCTCTGTTTTTCTGAAACTTCCCCAATCCTTCATAATCTAAATGATAAGGATATTTCGTACATACGTTAGAGTTTTACTTTTTATAACCATGTAAATATCCTTAGTTCCGGTGAGCTCAGAATAGCGATTGTTCACAGAAGTTTCTCATATGCTCTTTATTTTTTTTGTGATTACAAGAGCGAGACACCTCCCTACAAATAGGATTGATCTCTCGTTAGTTTCATGTTTTCCTCTGTAGAAAGGCATCCCTGTTACTCAGGTGATGTGCGGTTTTCCTATATCTCCAAAAAATTTCTTGTTCTCGGCTTTTTTATAAACTAAACTGACACAATTTTCAGCATTCAAATCCGAAGCTCACGAGTTGTCATATATTAACTTAGCGTAGAATTCTAGAAGTCAGTCATACTTACTTCCCAACATGAGATGGTTACCCGTTTATCAAACATAGCATTACATCATTACCCATTATGGATGCAGACATTGACAGAAAGAAGCGCGCGCAATGGAAGAAAAACGTTGAGCACGTCATTGTCAGTAAACTTGCGGAATTCTCTGCATATGTAATCAAATAACAAAGTCCATCAAGTGCTGCAAATGTTCTTCAGCACTCATACTAGATTGTCCCAAAAGTAAACCATATTTCTAAATGAATCAAACTGCTTTTGTTTTCCTAGCAGACTTAGGGTACCATTTTGGAGCGAAGCAAGCTCTACAAAGCGACCATCTAACATAAGATCCATCTAAAAAAAATCGGAACTCCTTCCAGAAAACCTACGGACCTTCTACTTGGTCATTACACAGTAGACACACAATAGTACCCAGAAATGTATTTGGTGGATTTTTTCCGGGGCTCAAAATTGAGGGGTAGAGGACTATATGTCGCCGAAAAAGGTGGTCCCCGCGGTCATTTGCGACAAATCCGCACCCCTGTACATGTGCGGACATGAGTTCCTTCAGGAAATCCGCGCGGGACTCTTCCACATTCGGCGACGTATAGTCTTCCACCCAAAACTGAGACACTGGGATGGCTGGAAAATGCAAAAACGTCACTTTTTAAATTTTTTGTGTTGGACTTGGTATTTCTCGATCAACAAAGCACAAACAGAAGTAAGATTCTAAGTTTATACTACTAGGACTTCTAGTATACAATGACAAATGTGGGAGGGGCGGGGGCGAAGTTTTCCATTTTTAGACTACCTCTTTTTTCTCGCTTTCTAAGAGCAGAAAAAAATCAGTAAATCATATTTGAATACTACTATGTTTTGCTGTATAATGGCGAAGTTTGAGGTTCGTAGGATTTTTACGATTTTTAGGTGATAAATTCTTTTTTTGATATTTGCTCCAAATTTTATCTGGATTACGACTTAGGCAGATCTTAAGCGGTCATTTTGTAGAGCTTGCTTCGCTATATCGAAAGGTACTTCACGCGATTCCAGTCGCTGGGCGATCTGGCACTGCAGCGACTCTTTGTAACTGGTCGTCAGCGCGCTTTGCATGGGTCAGACTCAAAGCTTTTGCTATAATTTACGGTAGCTACGCGCCTATGCACTTAGGACCCGTACACGATTGATCTATAAATATCTGGCAAACTGCCAATGTAGCGATTTGACGAAATCGCGCGAGATATGCCTTAGGCCTAAGACTGCTAGGAAAACGAAAACAGTTTGATGTGTTTATAAATATCTTTTACTGTTCGGACAACCTAATAGATTGCGGTTGAACTGGTACCAAATATGATAGACCTAATTTGTTTGCATTTACAAAAGCCAAAAGTGTCGCTAAACCCTAAAAGGCGACCACGCTAACCTATCCGAAAGTAAAATTCAAGAAACATAAATATTAAAATCTAACTGTCGATGGCAAGTTAGTCTTTGTAGTTTACGAAGAAAAAAACATTGGCCTCTAACTTAAAGTGCACTGGGTCCTTTTGAGAATATGTGCTGTATCAGAGAAGACCATGAAAAAAGTGAAGATGTGTAAAGATGTGCTGATGAATATAATCAGATCTGAAGGAAAGACAATAGTAACATTTTTTCCAAAATACAATATTAATCACATATAAAAAGAATTGGTTGGTAGAAAGGCAAATCATTTTGCGTATCATTTTATCATAATGAGTGATTACAACAAATCTTTAACTGATTTGGAAAGAATCTCTCCGGTAATGGTTATAGACTCTGTTAGAAACCGGTTGCATCACTGAACAAATGCAGAAAGTCTACCATTTTCGATTGTTGCCATCGTTTTCCTCGACGTCTCTCATGCCTCTCAGGAATATGTTGATTGTTGATGATTCACACTTATGTTCTGAGAGGATCATCGTCTTTGGCATCATCCCAAAACACCTTACTCATTTTTTTTATCATGTCATAAAAGTAGTTCGGAACGAAAAGGGAAGACTTATTAGGAGCTGGAAAACAAACATTCCCTCTTCTTTAATCCGCTCTTTTCATTCTTCTCAAAAGCTTTTACAAATTGCAAATTTACATAATTTTTAGAATGATCAAGTAGAGGTGTTAAAACTTTACATTTTGTCATGATTAGGTTTAAAAACGAAGTGGTGACATATAATCTTCCATCCGATTTGAAATTGGGTTTGAGAGCTCGCTTAATCTTTGTGGTAAAAGTTGCATACTTTGTGTTTCTGTTTACAAAGCTCGAAAGTGAGATTCTAAGCTTTGACATTTTCAGATTTGTTGTTAAGTCACTGCCTACCGGTCTTTCCACTCTTCGAATCGATCCCGTTCTTTCATCTGACAATCAGACTACTGTATCGTGCTCGGCTGACAATGGGGTGGCCAATCCTGTTGTGGCTGATGCTGTAATTACTGTTCTGAACAAAGGTAAAGCATTTTCTTTCAAATATCTCATCTTCTTTTTTGCGGAGCAAATAATGCTGTACAATTTTCACGAGGTAGAAACTTATCCGATGTTCTCCAAGATAGAGCATGCCCTTCAATATTTTGTTGAAAATGCCCACTTTATTTGCTGTTAGCAAATTTATTCATTGGTCCCTCACAATTTCCGAGTAATTTCCAGACGCGCTTCCGTCTGGATTTCCGGTCGTCGATGCTCATCCTACCCTCAAATCCGTTGAACAAGGCCGAACAGCCCATGTCACTTGTCGGGTGAGTATGAATAGAGCTGAGCTCAGCATTCATTTGATATTAACAAATAAGTAAAATGGATAAAGATGAATCATTGTGTATGACAAAAATGTATGCATTGTACTAAAGGATATGTAGTCAGACGAAGTAGCCTTCTACAAGAGAAGTAAATTGCGTAAAATGGTGATTCTAATTTTTTCGATATCTGCAAATCGCTCTTAAAGGAGTTTTTTTGGGGGGGGGGAGGGTGGAGATAGGGGCGAAAATTTGACGGGAACTAAAAAATCATTCAAAACTTTACGTTCTTGTTGATGAACTTGATCTAAAATATAACTGTTTAAAATTCGCATAATTTTGTTGTTTGGTATGCTGCTGTACGAAGGTGTATTGTTGTTTTACTGTAATCGCTATGACAGCCACTTATTTCGGAGTTACTAAGTTTTCTTCTTGATCTTTCTTGGTCATATACATAAGCGTAAGTAAATGGAGTGATGCTGGCTGTCACGGCAATCTTTGGATGCCTTCAGTTCAAGATACTCAGGCCTTTTATTGCCTCTTACAAATTCGGAGTCAGCATTTTATAACCTCTGGGCTAAAAACTTCAGACAGCGAATAAACATCTCATATGAAAAGCAACTCTGACTAACTATGTATTTGCCAGTAAAGTTTTCAGTCAAGCATTTTTGTTGATTTTGGCAGGAAATGATATTTGACCTCTACAGTGAGCATATATATGATGTATTTCAGTGTCCTTTTTTGAACCCGTAACAAAGGAATGTTTCAAAACTTCGAAAGACGAAAGTTAGCTACTCTAACTTGCAATGCCTTTTCCTACCCTCTCACTTTTGATCCATTCCATTCTTAATGTCATATCCGGCTCTTGTTGCTAGAATGCGCATATGCAACTTTGGCCTTTGCTCTTTTCTCGGTTCAGAATAAGACTAGGAAGACTTATTTTATCGAACATAGTTTAGGCGTTATTTTTATAGATAATTGAAGTTTTTAGGTGCGAGGAGATCCTCGACCGAAAGTACTGTGGCTGCGTGATCTTGTACCAATTGATATTCGAGCTGAAGGACGGTATTCAGTGTCAACAATGGGCAATCCAGGTACTGCGAAAATCCCGTCATTTGTTATCTTTATCGTAGCCTTGTCTGGGAAGTTATTTCATGGTTTTGAGGAGCTTACCTAGGGCAAATCCATCAGATCTGCATACCTTGCTATCTTATGTGGAAACTGATTGGAAGTTCTTGGGCAAGATATCATCCAAACATCTGTTTATATAAATCACTCGTTTTCGAAGAATTCTAATATGAACCACAATCCAGACCATACCATACTCCTGCAACAGACCAATCAACACTCCTGGACCGTAGAAGTACGGTTTGGATTGGAGTTTAGAGCTGATTTACTAGCACGATGATTCATATGAGCTTGAGCAGTGGCTTCCCTATGATCTTCCATTACGTTTCGACATAGGAGATTTAAACATAGAAAATTGTTTGGACACTGCCTTCAAGCTTCTATTTCCTATATCTTAATATTTTAGGAGCTCTTATGATCCAGCAAGCCCGAGAGGAAGACCAGGGCAAGTACGAATGCGTGGCAAGGAACGATCTTGGCGTGGTGCACTCGAAAGCAGCCCATCTCTACGTAAAAGGTGCAATTCATTTTCATGGCCCATTGGTGCAAATTCTCGTTCAGCGTTCATTATGAGCGAGTAGGGGCTGTTGCATAGGAAATTGGATTAAGAGATATATGCTGCGGGTCACGCCTCATCGGTCCGCCAGCCGACAATTGCTTCCAGCCAAATCCTCCCACTTCAATCTGCCCGAGCCCTTTGTTTGCGCGACATTTTTAGCACCATATCGTATATCATTTTGAATGATTTCCTCTTTTCCTTGTCACACCACATTTCTAGTCTTCACGTCTCTAAAAGGGTGGTCCATGAGGCTCAACTCAAAATTCTAAAATGCTCTTTTTTGTTTTCAATTTTTTGCGAATTTGGATCAGTACGTCTTGCTTAGAAAGAAAGTCGTGCAAATTCAGACCTGCCTGAGCAAAAATCTATATTGCATATTACGGAGATAAAGCTGAAAGAGTACATTGTATTTTATGAAATTTTGATTGCTATAATTGTTTACTTCTAATAGTTTTGAGAAATTTCTTCCCAAGTGAGACGAATTTGTTCTAACTGGCTGTATACAAGGAATGAATTATGAACTACATTTTTGTGACATTTCGATTTTGTTTTCTATAAGGCTTCTAGCATGCCCAGCATGCCCAACTGAAACATTTCAAGCCACCAAAATAAATAATACAGGAAACAACTTATTCCCAGATGTTTTGAAGCGAGTTCGAGTTCGAATAGTTTATTGATGCGCCTCATAGGCCATTTCGATAATTTTAAATCAAGCTAGAACTTCTCTTACCAGGCTATTCCGAATCTCTCTCTGTTTCGGCGGAAGTGAAAAATTCTTCAAGGCACCTACAATCAGTCATGCATCTTTACTGACCCCAGAACTTCTTTTCCTTTAGAAAAAAATGGAAGAACTCTAAGCAGAGTATGGCCACTGATAAATAATGGATCCTTTGTTCTCCACCTGTTCTCAGCTCAAAAACGTGAAAGTTTTGCAAAATCCATCGTGCAATATTTTAGCAATGCAATCCGCCAAGCTCTTCCATTCCTATATTGATGTTAAATCGTAAAATTTGATTGTCAGCTGATTTTCTACATGCTTAGATGGGATCTCTATAGTTTTCGATATAATGCGATGAACTTGCCCTTCGATTAGAGATTTTCTTCACTTACTTATCTGTTTTACATGACTCTGAAGCCCAAAACATAAACAAAAAAGATAAAGAACACTTGGTTCAATGAATCATTTTTAATCCCTATTGCATACTATATGACTAGTCAAAAGAATTCTTTGAGAAGCAGGATTATCGTGCTTCATCTTGTGGGCAACTTTTGACTATTACTGACTCTACCTACCCAGCACTTTACGCTAGTCTGCGACACTGAGGGCTAGATCTTCCCATGCCCTTAGCGATCAAATTTTCTCTACAGCTGTATATTATGTGTACTAGTCCTCAGGACACTGCTCGTCTACAAAGTCAAGTATCTCTGAAAACTTTGGACGGGCTGCACTTTTATTTGTGTAAACGCTTTGCTGCAACATCGTAACTTGCTTGTCACAATAAATGTACCTTCTGTCGCTATCATCCTTTTCTTTACTTCTTTGCCTTTCTGCTTTATAAAAAGGAAAATATACGATCTTCCGTTTCGTACCTTCCCTTAGACGGATTCTTGTTTCTAGAGCCTCTTTGGGACTCCTCAGTAAGGAAAGAGGGTCTAGATCAATTTGGATAAAAAGTTTTTGGTCTATATTTTTCTAGTCTTATGTAATATATATTTTTTTATTTTATTTATATCTAACTTCCGTAAAGAAAATTTTTCAGAAAGAGCACTACTCTTTCACAAATGCTATATTTGAGCTTCCTTTACAAAAGTGATCAAGGAATAAAAGGAAAACCTAACTATACCTAATTTCCATTTCGATCCTTTTCAATACAGTCCCAGAATGTACATACAAAATTCATTCCTTCGAATATTTTGACGAGAAAGATCATAAAAAGAATTGAAAATCTTCCTTACACTAGAATATTCTGAATTTTTCTAGATTTTTATGGATGGAGCGTCGCGAAATTGTGTACTTTTCTCAGTTTTGTTTTGGGATGTGAAAATGTAGTAAAACATCTGAAAGCCAGTATTGCGACATATGTATGCTATTTTGAAAGAATTGCACAAAGGAACTGCATTGAATAAATTTTGCAAGTTCGACGTGGCCTTCTGCATAATACATCGAAACAACATCAAAACTAGCAAGAAATGGTCTGCAAAATCGTTAAGGATAAACCCAAGCGATTTTCAAATAGAGAGCTGTTATCTTTTGATCTTTGAAATTACTTATACAAGTTACAAAAATGTGCCAGCGACTTATTTATACTTGTAAATAATTAATATAATTTTTAACTAGCCTTGTAAAAAATATTTTGGGGGATGGCTGCCGTCACGTCCCACTTTTTTGAAGTTTCGGTTTATGAACTCGCAAAAATTTCAGGAAAGCATAGGCCACGCACCTTCATTAGAAAAAAATTTTTGTTCCCCCTCCCCCCTTCCCCCCACCCCCGAACGCAGACCCTGGGTATGCCATGGCGATTACATAGAAAATCAAACTAACTGTGTCTTATGTATCAAAATAAAAGGAGCTTAACCGCTTAGTTAACTTACGCAAGTGTTGAAGATTTAATTGAGTTTGAAGTTAATTTTTTGCTTGAAATTTGTTGTTTTTTCCGTCCGGAAAATATTGATAGCCATTAATTCCTTGGTCCAACATCATAATCAGATCATATTTACTTACGAATATCGATGTTCATAGTATCTTGTTGACCAATGCATGGGAAGGGCACTTGTGCTCAAATTACATAATCTATACGAACTTGTCCATGCTACTTACGTCCCACCAGGGATTCTAGTGTGCCCTTCTCAATTATGACCTTGACCAGTCTCCAAGTCATTCTTCAAGCTTTCCGTGAAGCGCGTTTTGCTGAATGGGCGATAGCAGTTGTGGACATGGGTTTTTAGGGGGTCGTAGCCAAACGAAACACTAGCCCTGCGGTCATATACTAGGCGATTCTCAATGTGACATCTGGCCTTTACGAGTTGCAGCAGAGTCGTCGACATTGGGACACAGCAAAAAAAACCCCATCATCCGTTGCCATCCTCTCCCCCCCCCCCTCTCCCGCATCCATTACTACTTCTCAATTCTGATACATTGGCTCCGTGCCAACTTATTCCCCCTATAATGACTTTGACTTTTCGCCTCTGGTTTTTCATAAAGGGCCGTCGCCGCAATAAACAGCACCACACGTTGCCAATACTCTCATTTTCATGGATTCTTATTCCCCCCCCCCCTTCCTGCCCATTGAAGAAATGAGGACACGCAGAACGCTGCACGGAAGAGTACCTAAATAGCAGATTAACATCTTGCTACCGGGTGTGAGAATTTAATTTCATCAGGGTTTACGATAGCCATAAATCGCCGATCGGTTACAGCAACGGGATAAAAATTGGATTCGCGACCTCTTCTCCTTCTCAGTCACAGCGATTCCTGCTTGATTTGTGAGCAAAAACTAAAGTAGTTTCTCTTTTAGCTGTGCTTAGATCTTTTTTGTTCAGCTTCCTTTCGATACTGCCATATTACTGAAAATGATGAAAATAGTGCAACATATTTGCTTTCGCTGAATTTTTCATATGGCAGATTTGTCGGTAATTCATAAAATTATTGCTCATCGTAGGACTCTCATATCATACGCGATCCCACGCAAACTCGGCGAAATTAGTGAAGTGTATATCCACTTTCTATGAAGCTTGACTAATTTTCAATATTTGATGCAATATGGACAAATTCCTGAAGAAATTGAAATTCAATCACATCGTCAAACAACTGACGTATTCGGTCCGAAAAAGGGGGAAAATTGAATAAAGTAGTGATCTCAAAAATGACTCATTTGGGAAATCATCATGGTTTCCTGTGGATTCACGAAAATATGCGTTTCCCTCGCAATTTAATAGTTCTATGATAAAACTTTCGTGTGCAAACCATCAAATGCATTGATGGAGATTTGTTACAGTAATCGTTGTATTTTCACAATTGTTGAGTCACGAAATTCAAAAGTGCTGATGAGGTCTCAGGGCGTAGATTTTTTCTATTGCTTCCATACCAAGCAAATCGAAAATTCTCTTTCATCGTAACCAAGATAGCGTACAGAATAAGACAGCTGATATGTAGGGTACCGTTTTGACAATATGAAAATTTTCAATTTTGATCCCTTCGGCATCTGAAAGCCTTCTATTTAAAAGATTCAACGAACTGATCAAATGGATTGCAAACCATTTCTATGGAGAACCTTAACTTTTTTCCATAGATGTAACCTCTATGAGCGGTTCATTGTTTGACTTATCTTTGAGAAAGGAATTCTGCTCTGAAAGGTTAAGAGCAATTCTGTCAAACTTTTACAGCAATACGACCACCCATCTTTGGGATTTTTTTCTGGAAGATTAGCACTCAAGTCCCGAGTAATGACATCACGATATCTTAATTCGACGAGAGTTGCTTCAGTAGTGTTCTAATGAGGCATCGACATCTTTGAAGCAGATCTTAATTTCCACTCGACGGCAGTCGTAATCCTTCTCCCCGTTGATATCACATTATACTAGCGGTCATTTTGGGACAGATGTTGCATCTGAGCTGCGAGCCATCGTTCTATAGTTCGAAACCGGTTCTTCATTTGCTATGCCTCAATAATTTGAGAAAAATCTATATTTCGTAATATTCATCCAACTAAGTCTCGTAAACTAGTGGAACGCATGGCAGAAAGTTGATACTTTTTTCTTATTTTTCTTACCGCACTTTCCGCTTTCCGATTGCTTGACTTCCCTTATAATCGGGCTCTGTACCTATTTAATTTTTTAAGAATATTCTGTACGAAAGCAGCTGTGTTGTATTTGATTAAAACAAGTGCGTTTTTTTTTCAAATTCATGCTAATGATGTCCGAAATTCAGCTCAAATACATTCTATATATTCATCTACCTTTAGAAGTTTGGAAGTCACTAGTGTGGGAGGAACCTAGAAAAGGGGAGGAGCTTTTTTTATCCACTTTTTCTCTATTTCCAGCCGAAAAGTGCAGAAAGTGCATACATGTTTATGCTTATGTGTCTCCAACATGTAAAAGCAATCAAAAGACCCTCAAATTTCAGAAATTCTGCGCAAAATCGAATTTCATATCGTGGCAATAAATTTTCTCTCAAAAGCATCTTGCGTCTAGTCATGCATTTGAGAACCTCAGTTAAGTTTCAGAAATAACACAGAAGAAGATAATGCCATGCAGGGGCACTGAAATTTGTAAAATTTAATTTTTTCTTGGATTTTTATTACCTGTTCTGACTTTTCTATTAATCAGCTCAAGTAACGGCTTGATTCATCTTGTGACTTGCTTGGCTCAAATGTTTAACTCACCTCTTCAGTATTCCCCTGCCACGAAGAATTGCAAACTGAATTAGTTTCCAATTAATTGATGTTTTCTTTCCTCTACCGCCACCCAAAAGAATGTCGCCTTTTTTGCTCTCACACATTTCTTTCCAATTCTTCTTCGATATCACCTCTCTTCATCGACCTCGATATCGCTTTAGTACTTCAGAATGTCTTGACTAAGTGGCCATGAATACTATATTGGTGCTTTTGATGTGCGGAAAGCATGCAAGCGCCTTCTTGGGTCACACATTGCCTTTGCATCTGTTCGGCATGGAAACGGCGAACACCAGCGCCACCGATGGTTTGTGCCTAGAAATTGGAAAAATTGTCAAGCGGACCATTTGGCGTGACAAGCAGAGCATAAATATGAGGCTACAAATATTATATATTGAAATTTTAGTCCGTCGAGTTCCACCATACTTCTCTTTTAAACTCGAGAAGGTCTACAGAGTTGGCGCCGGTGGAAGCGTGAATCTCACATGTGTTGCCGTAGGATTTCCAATGCCCAGAGTATTCTGGAAAAAGAGCGATGACGGTAAGATTATGGTCATATAAATCAACATTTCATTGCGGGTAGTCAAATTTCAGTTCACTATAGTTTCGCTAAAATTCGGGTGAAAAAGTGGGAGTGAAAGAAAATGAGTTGTTATCACTCAAAACGGGATAGAATCGAGCACGAAAAAGAAATATGATAGAGAAAATGGAACTATCTGCAAGAGAAATTATGCAATCAATGTAGAGGTTATTTTCAATGGAATACTTTTCCAACTAATGGCTTTCAGATCTCCTTCACTTATCTTTTTACCATGCAACCATTCACAGTATGGTTTTTTTTGCACTTCGCGGAGCTGAAGCAGAATCCCACATCAGAGATGTTAATGAATATATTTTTTTAAACTTTGCTGCAGTTGAAGTCATAAATGCTCGGTTATGGACTTTTGTTACGAGTTTCAGGACCGAATCCGCTATACTCAGCGTAGGATTTAACTAAGAGGCACTTTGGATTAGTTGAAACACATCGATCACGCTTTTTGGGATTAGTGCTACACTTTTTCTGCAATAGTAGTATTCCTGCAATTCGTTATGGAGCACGCGACTGCATGTAATATATCGTGCATCTCCTTCTTTCATGGAGATAAAAAAAGCTCTAGGATAATAAAAGAGAGAGGTCCTATAATAAACTGAAACAAATGCTCTTTCCTCTATATCAAATATTCATAAGTTTTTGGCATAACTAATATACCAAAATTCATTAATCAAAGCAATTCAAGGTGTTTTAATATTGTTCAAAACACTGTGGGGTTGGAATTGCTCAAGGGAAATATTTCAGAAACGAAAGGGTAGAAATTTTGTTTTAACTTGACAGATTTGAAAATGTAGCTCCCTAATAGATAAACTCATTCTTTTAATAACCTTATTTAACATATTGTGAAGCGCGGGAACTGATTCTACTAACAACCCTACAAAATCAGTGTGTCCATGTAGAGAAGGAAGTATCCTAGTATCGAAAAAGAATGTTCGAAACAATCTTACATGGCTGCCATAATTGAAACAAAGCTGTAACACCCGCTGTGTAATTTCATCATCATTTTTTCTTGTATTCCTCTACATTTTTATTTTCAGTGATGTTGAATGACCCAGCTACGGCTCCAATTGGTAAAAACGTGCTCACCTTGACCAACGTTGAGCAATCTGAGAATTTCACCTGTGTGGCTGTTAGCAAATTAGGAAATATCGAAGCAACAACGCTAGTGGAAGTCAAACGTAGGTTTGCTCCATTCTTTAGTGTTCACTAGTACTGCTTATTTTTGCAGCTCTTCCACCTCCACCACGACATTTCCGGGTCTCTTCGGTTACCAGCGACACTGTAACTCTCACCTGGGAACCTCCAACCTTGGTTGAGCCCGCGGTGGAGTATGTCATCAAGTACCGACAGAAGTACGCAACTGAGAAAATTTTGATTTTGGTTTTTTTTTTCTGAATTGCATGAGAGAGAGCTCAGACAGATAACGGAGGGAATTTTATGATTACAAAGGCAAATCGAAAAATAGAGAATCTGTGAATCTTTTTTGTTTCTTGCACGATTCAGTGGAAAACCAAGAATGTGAAACAGTTTGCACTCACTAAATGCGTTTTCTCGCCGACTTCGTGTTTTTATGTTCAAGCATTTCCCGAATATCATTTTCTTTTACGGAAAGGGAATATCCATAGTTGCAGTGTAAGGCACAAATTCCTCTCATTTCACTTTTTAGTTCATTTCCGCTGTTACACTGAAATCGTAATTTCTGGCCAGATCAAGGCCTATATCTATAGGGATCAAATTCGTTTATCCTGCAGATTTCAAGCATTTGTGATAAAATGATTATTCAGTCATATATACTCACTCAGAACCTACACTGAGGCTAGTAATGTTGTAATGTAACTTCTCGGATTGTTTTTGCCGTGAGAAAGTAAACTGGTGCCTGGAAAAAATTTGGTGAGAGATCTGGCTGAGCTCGCAACTGAGTGCAGTGCTGCGAATGATTGTGCTTTTCATCTGTTTGTAACGTTTGGAGTGATTCTCATCCTCTAACATCGCCATTTGAGGTCTCACCCCCGAGCTGGAGCCTACTCCACAGGGTACGTTTGCAGTGTTGTGCTGTCCTCGAGTTTGCATGTGTTTTGTAGTCCAGTCAGTGTAAAAACCTTTTCTGGTCTCAGCTAAGAATCATACAGATATGCCGATTCCAATGCTTTGAAGAATTGGAAGGTGGACATATCAAAAAGCAGCACGACCATCCCCAAGCTTGAGCCTTTCCAGGTCTGTGAGACTTTGTTTTGGATGAGATTCGGCTCTTTAACAATGCCCGATGTTTTTATTATTGCAGTTGTACGAATTTGTGATCGCGACTGTGGGAGACTTCGGCGAAGGACCTGGCTCGATTCCAAAAGAGGCGCAGACAGCGGAAGCAGCTCCTGGAAGCCCTCCGACAAAAGTAATATTGAGATTTAACAAACTCATTTCTAAAAAACACTCATATTAATGCAAATACAAAATCATGGAGTGAAAAATCGTTTCCATTGTTTGTGGATTCGGAACGAGTTCAACAGTTTCTGTCTGCAGGTCCAAGCGAGAAGCCTCAGTCGTGATTCGGTGCTTGTGAAATGGAGTCCTAGCGAGAGACCTAATGGTATGATCACTGGATATCGTATCTTTTACACCAACAACGATCGGACGGCACCCATTGACCAGTGGGAAATGGTGAGTCCGTCCTTTGTTTTCCATTTTCAAATCCTCTCTGACAGCCGACCTGCTATCACTTAGGATCTACTTACCGCTGAAATTTGTAGTGTTCTGTTAGATAAGTTGCTCTAAAGCCTTTTTAGGCTTGAAGTGGGAGAAAGTGAGGGCCAAAATATGCGCTAGTCGCTTGTTGCGTGAACGGTCTTCCCGTATTCTGAGGGGAAGTTTTGAGGCAGGTCATAAATAAGGTCGCGTCATAAGAAAAATATCTGATAAGGGAAGGATAGTTGGTCGAAGTGGAGTCTCCATTTAAAACATGTACTATCTTACAAAGCATGGAACGCTGACTCCAAATCTGCTTTCGATGTCTGCAAGCGCTTTTGAGAGGGGAGACATGGAAATTTTTTTAAAGCAAATTTGAGCGCGCGACTACGATAAAATTATTCAGAAGTGAAGTTCGTGAGCTCAGATGGGGTCATGTTTATTGCCAAGTTTATGCAATCAAAACCTTCAGCTTAATGAACTTATCCTAGCTATTACTCTTTTTAAGCTTTGGAATGACTTCAATATCTGCTTTTACCTTAATTTTTGAATGTTTGCCTCAACAAATTCCCATGACTGATTTGGAACCGGTGTTCCATGCTCTATAAGACAGTAAAACATTTCATATAGAAACGTCGACCGTATCCTTCTTTGTAAGAGATAATTCGGTGCGTCGCTGAACAGTCAAATCTGGACCCGCATTCAAGTCATGAATAATTGAGATATGCCTCAACAAATTTCTAAACCATCCGCACAGTTTTAATGTTGGATCTTTTAGTGGGATTTCTTCGTTGTCATTATCCATTGAATGGATTTTCATAAACATTTATTTTGATCTTATCTTTGCAGCACGAGACAAAATCCGACGAGTTGATGGCAACGTTGTATGGACTGGAGACCGATAAACGATATCACGTCAAGGTTCAAGCTCGCAATGGGAAGGGAACGAGTCCGATGAGCAATGTGGTGGCTGTGCTTACAAAGCATGGAAGTAAGTTTTTCCATGTGGAATGACTTACAGTTTTTTCTACATTACACCGCTTTGGATAAAGATTTATCACCACCTATAAATCAAATCAGTTGTAGCCTTTTTTGTGCTTCAAAAAATATGCTTTTTGAGACGAAAAAGAATCTACCGTTACTTCGATAGGTCCCGCTTCTCTCCGGTTTGATTTACTGTGACACGATGATGTATAAGTAAATGAAAGGAAGAATTTCTTCGCACGCACAGGTCTTCTTCTACATATTAAGTTACCAGCTGTTCATACTGCGTTTTCTTGGAAAGTGTTGTTTGCTTTCTACTTATTATATTCTATAACTTTCCAGTTCCCGGCCAACCCGTGTCGCTCACCGCTAAACCACTCGATTCGCGAAGGATACAGTTATCTTGGGAGAAACCGTTGTTCTCGTTACCAGTCACAGGTAATCAGATGCATTTCTCCCTCTTTGAGCTTGAGTTTTGCATAAGTCAAACCAATATATCCTGGCAGAAAGTCACTGTACTCATTCAGGTTACGTCATCTGGTATAATGGGACCGGCGGTGAGAAAGAGCTGACGCTAACCTCTCCGCATGAGAAACATACCATAATGGGGCTCGTACCAGATACCACCTACACATTTCGGTAAGCGAAGTGACCCTCTTGATATTCGCGGTCTCCCAGTTCGGTTTCCCATCTACTTGTTCGTGTTCCTTTAGCCGCAAAACATCATAGGGTTTGCATAACGGATTGAGTAGTGCGAACAACGAAAGGTGTTCAAAGGAAAAAAGAACGGTAAACCAATGCGTTCGGTAGCGCAAGGAACTTCCCGCTAAGATTGTCAGGATAAAAACGAATCGAGTCAACTTGGTTACCGTAGTTGTCGTCCAAAAAGAATGCGGTACGAAGCCGCATTCGAAGCCTCAGCTTACAAAACAATGTTTAGTAATAAATGCTTACATTATTTTTTGCTTCATAGCATCGCAGAGTTTTATCCAGCTTTGCGGCACTACATATCGCTTAGCGAGTATTAGAAGTAAAGAAGCAAAGAAAATTACAATAACCAATGATTTGCTCTTAAAAAAATTTAACAGTGGGTCGGCAGAATGAGACTCGTAGCAAAACAAGGTCACAGGGTAGGAGCCCCCATAATGGAACCTATGAGCCGAAGTTCGATCATTCTCTGTCACTCCTAACCCCTGAAATTTCAAAGCGAAAGCAGCGCTCATCTCCTCTCCTCTCCGATCCCGCCCACCCTACGGACGAGTGAACGCGAAGTCCGTCATGGCGAAGACGCAGAGTCGTTGCGGGACCTCATGCTTATAGCATTGCGGCTGCGCGCTCTGACCGTGGAAGTTACTCGTCCATGGAGTGGGCGGGTTCGGAGAGGACAGGAGATGAGCGCTGCTTTCGCTTTGAAATTTCGGGGGTTAGAAGTGGCAGAGAAAGACCGAACTTTGGCCCATAGGTTCCATTATAGGGCCTACCCTGTGACCTTGTTTTGCCACGGGTCTCATTCTGCCGACCCATAAGGGCATGAAGGGATCAATTCACTTCTTTTCGGAACGGCTTTCGAAATCGGCGTCAAGAAAGGTTTTCGGAGGCGTTCTTGTTCCAGTGTAAATTCTAGAGTTGTTTCCCGCATGAAGTGTCTGTTGAAGCTTACTTAGGGGAGGTTGCATATATTATAATTTTATCCAATTTTCTGGAGTCAAACGTCTTTTCTTGTTTCGCTCTCACTTATTGCTGAAAGGTGCACCTCAGGAAAGCAGATCAGAGAAACGGCACGACTTTCAGCATCTGTGCAAAGGTACCAAGGTAAACATATAATCTACACAACTGCAGTTAACCGAAAAATTGTAGAAAAAAACATTTAGGCAGGTATTAACTGCAACTTAGGTCGACCCAAGTCAGATCAAATACAAATATTGGGTGTTGGGTTCAGCCACCCATTTCGATTACTTCTCGTTGCTCTCAAAATATTTGTCCTTATATTTTCTGTTTTCTTGATGGTCATTTTTGAGAAAATCAAAATATGGACCTGGATGATATCTCTTTCAGGATAGCAGCGACTTCAGCCCGCGGTACTGGCGAGTTCTGCGATCCAGTTGAGGCAAAAACTCTGCAGTCAAGTAGGTTATCTAATTTCTCTAAAAGTTACCAAGCTGCGCCAACAAATGTGTTTCTTTTTCTCGAACCACGGATCGACATACTCGCTCACTTAAAAAAACCGCGTTTACAAAACAGCACATTTGGCTTATTGCCAAACTTTCTCTACAGGACAAGTTAGAACTTGTATATCCTGATTACAACTTGCTGAACTTGTCATAGAACCTGTTTGATACAGGTTAGATTCCATAAACGCGTTTCGTCAATAGCAAAAAGCAAGGAACTGTTATAGTCGTATCTTTCATATTTTCGATGCGGGCGTGTTGCCCTATGTTTCGGGAAAAGGACCACTACTGTTGGGACAGCTAGATATTGTGGCTTACTGTACTGTCCTGTACTTTGTCCGCATGCTTGTCACCAAGTTCAGTTCCAACTGGCTCTCCACTGCTGCTGAACGTCACCGCAACCTCATCGTCATCTCTGCATGTGATTTGGTCGCCACCAGAATCCGCACACAAAATAGTACAGTACCGTATTCAATATCGTGTTGTGAACACGGAAAACTTCACCGCGGCTGTCAGCTCGAGCTACGAAGACGACGCTGACGACGATGCCATTACTACGAAACCTCCTGTAGTCTACAATGTGTTGGTGAATGCAAGTGATGTGACGTCGGCAAATGTGACTGCACTGAAACCGTTCACGGTCTATGAGATTACCGTAGCTGCCGTAACAGCCTTCGGTTACGGTCCAGATAGTGGTCCCTTGCGCAGAAGAACGCTTGAAGACGGTGAGATTTTGAAGCATTTGAGTAATTTTTTGATATTTCAGCAGATGATGAGGATGTTCTCCCTGGTAAGTGGTTGTCGTGTAGTGATGAAATTACAAATTTGCTCATATCATTATACTGCCGGATCTGTAAAGTAAATCTAAGCAGGGTGTCTGGGAGTTTCTGGCCTCAAGCACATAAATCTGGAGACAACCAAATGATTGGAAAATTATCTTTGGCTAGAAATCACTGCGGAATTTGTGAAGTCACCGACACTGCATAATTGCGATTTTAGGTTTATAGTTTCTTCACCACTGGAAAACACCATTTTCGTACCATTAAATGTAAAGCTGCTCTCTCTATATATAGCGAAGGTATGTGTAAGAATGTGGCCTAGAAATTCGTAAAATCACGTAAGAGCAGGGCTCGGCACAAGTCTTTTGGAAAATAAAACGAAGTCCTTCTTGACTTTCGCGAATTTTTACGAAGTCTCCGTTGACTCTGAACCCTAGTTAAAAAATCCTCAAAAAAGAAAGGTTGACTAAAAAACTTCATGATTTTTGTGCCTTTTCAGTCTCAAAAAGATACCCTCCTTTGCTTTTTGTCCCAAAAACGATATCCCGCTTGCTTACAAGCCACCTATGCCGAGCTTTGTATAAGAGAAGGAACTTTCCTGAGTCTCCCTCATCTACATATTCCTGCCGCAAGCTTTTTGGACTCAATGTAAATGAGTGTAGTTCTTAGAATGGCCTTTCCCTTCCGATGTTTTCGGACGCAATATTTCGCTCAGCTTTCAGCACCATGCAGAGCAAGTAGTGTTATGTTTAGAAGAGTTTGATTTTGGTTACCCTTTTTAAGAACGACCGTAACGCCTTAAGGGCCGGGCATACTTCAGGCGATTTCATCCGCGACGCCATTTGGCAATTCGCCAGAAGTCTTCGGATCCAACATTAGCAAACCGCACATGCTTAGGGTGTATAACTTACGTGGATTGATAAAATGCCCTATCTTCTGTACATTCAAAATGTGCTTACAGTGAGTTATGGACAGTTGGAATATTGCCAAATCGCGTCGCGACTGAAATCGCATGAAGTATGCCCGGCCCTTTAGAGGCGTTTGTGTAAAATGGAGTAGTGTTCAACGAGATAGGGTGAAAATTAGGGAAAAATAACCAACAGATTTTTGAAAGAAAATCTCGGAAGTAGGCTCCAACGTGCTTCTCCTAATCTGGACAACTCGGCAAATAAAGCTTCAACTTAGAGATTTTCAATGCTGTTGGTGTCGCTTTAGCTTGCAGCTCTGGTACTTTTTATAGAGAAAGTGATCTATTACAAGGTGGATCCAAAAGTGTAGTCTTTACAAATAATTTGTCACCAGTTGAGAGTTCACACGATCCCTGACGTCTCTCACCTTCAACCGGCTCCTCTAAACCGCGCAAGAAACTCTTCAAAGTTTGAAATGCGCAACCGCACGAGATTCAAAGCCTATCCTTGTGTACAAAACGAGCAAAAACGGTCCTCTTCTCGACGCGGCGGTCGCAATTTCATTTGAGCTTCCGCGAAATTGACTCGCTGCGTGTATTTGTTGATACTTCTTTCTCTGCATTTCCTGGGGCCTGAGTTAATCTAGGCAGCGGTAGTGGATCGCATTACCATTCGTTTGCGCACTCTTCTCACGTCCTGTATTTGGAAAAGGACAGCTGGAGGCTTTATTAGTGAGGCTGCAATTTTTCAGGATATATACTGAAAATGTAGCTTTCAGTAGCCTTGCCTAAGAATGGAAATAGCTTTATGGCAATTTAGAACCTGTCATGCTGCAGAAGTCGCTGGCTAACGTCAAACTCATGTTTTTTTTCGTTGGGGACGAAATTGAAGGGAGAGTAGGGGAGGAGGGGGGGGGGGGGAAGGTTTTGTGGACTTGTATAGTCACTAGGTTTGACGGTTAAAATAGTGTCTCCCCGCTGTCGGACAACATTTGCGCAAAAAAATGTCATGCCCATGAATGCAGGCAAGTCGCGCGATTTGCTTGAATTTTGCTCGTGAGTTGCTTGCAAGTTGCTTTCGACTTGCGAGTTACTTACACGCAAACGTTATCGACACCGCAGAAACACTGTATAAATTATTATATCTACCAAGCTTTAGTTTTCACCCAAAATTGACTAAATTTATCGCCTGGGGACCATTCTCGTCGTACCCGCGAATTCCCATGTGCGACAGATTCAAGCACTCGATTATCCCATGTTGCCTGCATATGGAATGTGTCGGACGGACTCCATTGCCGTCACCGCTTGTTTCACGTCCCGTCTCTTCCACGAGGCTCTCATCTCGGTGATTAGCTGTCAGCCATTTCTTCAAAGTGCATATTTGCAAGCTGCAACTCATTTGGATGCGCGCCATTTCATCTAATGAAATCTCTTCGTCCTAATTTCCATAATAGCACTTTTGCCTCACAGCGACGTCTCTTGCACTCATTTTCTTACCTAGTAGTTTCTTCTAGGGTCACTCGGCAGGATCTTATTCTTTCTTTCCCTCCCCCCTCCCCCCACCCCGTTCCCGCTCTGATCATTTGATTGCGCAGTGAGTGCTTAGGACCGAGCGCTATTGTGTCATTTCGCTGCGGCTCCCGATGAGACCGAGCACAACACTAATGATCGCTTATTGTGTGGGTGGCTACGTGGGGGGGGGGGAGCTGATGTTGCGAGGACCATCATCTCCGAGGTCCCTCTCCTAAGGAACTCCTAGTACGATAGGCTACGTTTACCGCACTCCCATCTGTGCTCACCTCTTCGCGACACGATGCTCCATTAGGGCAGCTGTGTACATTTTCATTGCACTCCATGAAAAATGATTGATGTTTACGAGGGGGTGCACATTACTGCTCATATGAAAGCTAGAGCCCCATCTGTTAAACATTGTTCTATTGGCTGTAGCGAATTCTGTTTGCAAAGTGCTTATCATATACTTCTTGATAGTGTTTGCATAGATGAGGGCCTGATAAAAAGCTTGAAAGTTCAACAGCGTCAAACATGCTAAATTCTCGTCATTACTGCTTTGGAATTTTGGGCAACAAAACCATAGTTTGCTCTTTAGAATATCATATTCGCTAATTCAAATAGTTGGAACATAGATTTGCACCAAAGTTTTTGGAACTGCATAATCTCCATGTTTTATCGTTTGATAAAAAACAAATCACGCGCTATCCGGAAATGCTTGAAAAGAAATTATTGTTATCATATTAGGGCAATAAAATCAGGTTAACAGAAATTCTCAAACTTTTTGAATTTCGGTCATCTAACACGCCAATGGATCTATTACTTTTGATTTTATTTTTAGTCTGGGTTTTGTGACCTACTCTTCTTATCCCAGATGATTTCGTATCGTTTGGATATCTCTATAAAAGCTTGAGAATTTCCAATTTTATAATAAAATACTACGTAACCTATATGTATAAAATGCCATGCAGTTGAAAACGGCTGCTCAAGCATTTAATAAGTTTTTTTTGAATATTTTATGCGAGGCATATTCTAACCTGATGATTAAGTTTTATATGAGAGCTAACCTCTTCATATCATAGCATTGAGCATACTTTACTCAAATGATCTAAAGTTCGGCCGCTAATGGTTCGCTGTCGCTAGCTTTATATTTTTTCACATCCAATTATGATATGCATAACAAGAAGGAGGACCAGATTGGAATAAATCAATGTTTCAGTATTCGTATTGCTAGGACTACAAAAAAAGTAGCTTACTACGGAACTCATTTTTGCAGGAGTACAAATGCTTCCAACATGGGTTATAACGCCTATCAAAGTTCATGATTTTACCGCTTTCAATTACCGTATCCTCCCTCTACCTAGGCGCAAATGTCCACTCTGACTCATTCCTCATCGTTTTACAATTATAATCCCCTACAGGCGGACCCCTCAATCCGTTTTCGAAATGAAATTCTTATCTGATTTAGCCATGTCACTCGTAGCAGTCGTATGCTGTTTCGTAACAGATGCTGCGTTTTCCATAGGATATTATGTTTCTGATTTGCATTTGCTCTCTCCGCTCCTTTGAGGGCCCTTAATGAAGGGCAGGGGGCGCAGAGCGCATATACACGTGGCGTGTGTGACCCTTGTCGGGGTGGAGAGGACGCATGCTTGTCCTCATGACCTAGACCTATTCATAAAGCTGTTTTTTGTAGGGGGGGGGATGTGACCCTCGAGGTTTAATGCGTTCCGCATCGTAAGGTCGTTCACTTTCCCAATTGATAGTGATATCGAGCAAATTTTTGGTTTTCCCCCGAAGAAAAATAGGTTTGAGCAAGCTAGATTGTTCTCGCGTTCAAACATCTTCTAGCAGCCAAGGTCTTACGATGTCTAGTTTGAATATAAAATATCACTGTCATTTCCCAGACCCAGTTTCCCTTCCAACCTCTACATTTCGCTGCTCTTCGGTCTCCAGTAGTAACCATTCATTGGTTGTCAATTCATTTGATGGATTCGATCATTGCTAGTTTCCATTTCGGCAACCCTCTATTAAAGCGACGAGCTCTACTTCCCGCACAGCACAACTGGCCATTCTGCTTGCGTCATTGCGAAAAGCCTTTCGGAACTTTCGAACCCTTCCAAGCCTTCTGCTTCCTCCAGGATATTTCTTACTTGTTGTGTTCGCGAAAAACGAATAAGCATCGTCAATAAATGTGGTATGGTGTTCAATCTGGATACGTTGTTTGCGTTTTCGACATCGTTTTAGCTACCGTCGCACCCACACGCACACAACAATATTGGGGCCTAAATCCCTCGTTTCTGACACTAATCGACATCCGAATTGTAGTCCCTCTCTCTTTCGCTTCGGCGTCGTTCGTTCACCCAGCTGGTTGTTCCACTCTTTCATCCGCAAACATCGAGCGTTATCAGTTCGAATTCAAGGTGCTTAATCTTCACCCCCCGAGCTGCTCTTGGTCTCGTTCCAAAATTGACGCATCTATTACGGAGTGTGCTCACCTCGTCCCGTCCCTCTCATTAACTCTAATGTACACATCTGTCACCTATTCCTAGTCGCGCATAAGTGCAAATGGCTTTTGCGACGTCTTCATATCTTACGTGGTGCCGGAAAGGACAATTAGCTCCGTGATTAATGTGACACATGCAGTGATCAAAATAAATCGTGTCC